CAGGAGGGTCCAGACACTGCAGCCGTTCGGCTACCCAAGGTACAGGGCTGCCACTGCCCCTGGAGCTGGAATGGGCGGGGGGCTCTGAGTATGGGGACCAGGCCACCCAGCCCAGGTGAGGCACCCAGAACTGGGGGGGACCAGAGACCTCCCCCCCTAAACTGGCTAACCAGTTAGGGCTGCCACTGCCCCTGGAGCTGGAATGGGCGGGGGGCTCTGAGTATGGGGACCAGGCCACCCAGCCCAGGTGAGGCACCCAGAACTGGGGGGGACCAGAGACCTCCCCCCCTAAACTGGCTAACCAGTTAAATAGGATTTTGCATCCCTACTGGGGTCTGCTGCAGAGGTGGGATCTTGGGGGGGAGGGGGAGAAGAGGCCACAATGGGGCACCATTCCCCTGCCCCATATGAGGCCGGGGAAGGGAACCACATGCCGCAGTGCTGTGGGGAGAGCTTGACGGCTGGGGCCTCAGGCAGCCCTTCACTGCCAGGTGGGCAGGCTGACTCGGGCAGTTCCACCCTCACCCCTAGAGCCCAAAGCTGCTGTGACACCCAGGGGCAGGGGGGCCCGTGCTCTCCTGCCCCTCAGCTGGGCTGTTTGTTCCCTTGCAGGCCAGAGGACCGCAGCACCCCCACTGCAGCCCCCGGAAGCAGCATGGGGCTGGAGGGGCCCAGCAGGGCCAGGCAGCCCCCCGCGCTGGCGAGGAAAGATCCAAGGAGCAGGCAGCGGAAGAGGGGCCCTGGGCCCACGGGCTATCTACACCAGCTCCAGCAGTGAGGGGCAGCTGGAGCTAGGCCAAGCAGCACAGGTGAAGGGAAGGAGCAGCCCTTGCAGCCAACACTAACCTGGGCCTGAGACCGGAGCCAGCCTGCACAAGCAGGCAGCCTCCCCCCCTTTGGCCTGGCTGGGGGCAGCATGGAGGGCAGCTGCAGGACTCAGCACCAGAGCTGGCCTCCTGGGGGGCCCAAGTCCCCCTCACCCAGGGGAGCCCTCCCAGCAGGTGTGGCCCTTGGCCAAGCAAAACACTGGACATTGATTAGAGCGGGGCAGCATGTGCAATAAAAGCCGGAGCAGCCAGGCCTGTGAGACCTGTTTGTGCCTCTCTGCCCGGGTTGGGCTCCATGTTGCCTTCAGCCTGGCTGGCACAGCCCCCCTGCCTCGGGCCTGGGCTCCCCCCCCCATGCTCAGCCAGGCAGGCAGGGCACCAATCCCAGAGCAGCCCAGCTCTGGGGGCCCTGGCCCAGGAGGGGTGCAGGTTGGCAGTGTGCTGGGCCCAGCTGCGCCAGGCAAAAGGGCTGGGGAAGGACCCAGGCTAGGGTGGCCCCGGGGGAGGAGAGCACCAGCATGGAGGCTGGGGGCAGGCCAACTGGA